GGGGGGGGGGGGGGGGGGGGGGGGGGGGGGAGGTTTTGGCCAATTCCTTCCTTTTGTGTTGCTGGGTGAGCGGGTAGTAGGCCATCATAGTTTTCGCCGATATACGCAGCACTGCACAAGAAGAGCGAAAGTGAGACTATGGTCGTTACGCGGGTCTTTTGTGTATGTTGAGTATACGTTTGCATAAACTCTTGAGATACGAAAATACCCCACACTCCAATGGTCTGCAGCGCAAACAGGAGGACCACACACACACTACAACGCATGCTAGCCCACACTATTCTTGTCATGACGATTGCGGGGGTGCCCGCTGCTGGTCACGCCTAATGCACGAGGACATATCTGTAGTGGTCCCGCCCTCACGTTCGGGATTATAAATTCATGCATAAGGCGCAAAAACACGAATATTGTTAATATTCGCGCAGCACGAACATGTCCACCGGAGGTTCGTCCAAGGAACGATCAACGCTCTTCCATCCTGCGCAACCATATCAAAAACAAGGATGGGTTGGTGCATCTGAGTCGAAGGTCTCATCAACAACTCATGTTTATTTTCCGCTTCATCGCATCAACGCATTTGCAAAAACTCTGGTTTGTGATAAATATGGTTCCATCAGTACCGTTCGCCTCCCCAACTACACTTCCTGCTTCCCCTCCAACCATACGCCCTTTATTTGTAAGAAACGCCACTTCCTCGGTAGCCAGGGGGGGGGGGATCAGGGCGTTGTGTCCCCCCCGTGGGAATACCGACAACCATCACGAAAGAAGACAACATCGCACGCGAAACCCTCCATTTCAGATTGACAGCTTTGTAAAAAGCGCAAGTCTCGACCAATGAAATGAAGTTAGATATGAATACCCTCAACTCAGTGTGAGCGGAGGTCCCAAAATGGCGAGGTGGTATATGCCTACCACCGAAGGCTGGCTGATTTCCTTTGGTGCAATGTGACGAGGAATGTCAAGCGGTGGTTGAGCATACTCAGCCAAGGCCAGGGTAAGGTTGCGAGTGGGCGCCGGCTGAGACCCTTCCTGGGTTCTCGGTACCAACCATAAAGATCCATCCCGACTCAGGTCGGGGTGAATAACCCACAAAGTAAAGATCCAGAGCAGAGCGATGAATTATCGTCTGTCGGATGTTTTTCACTCCCTTTGTATGTGCGTGTGTAAGTATAAGAAGATACGAATATCCTGGCCTCCACATAGCCCCCCTCTTTTTCCGCCGAAAATCTATCTTTCGATTGTTTTTGGCGCTCATTCAGGTGATGAATGAGAAGGTTGTGTCGTGGAGTAGGTATCGTTTCCTTAACTTTACAGCAACGACAGTTTTCCTGTTTGTTTTTCTTCCCCAACCATCCGAAGATGGCTACACCTCGTGTTGAACAACACGGCAGGTAGGTGGTGTAAAAAGACAAACATTTGAACTCACATACTCAAGAGATGTCCGGAATTTATTGGTCATACCAATGTGTTCGACACCAGAGCCGAAATAGACTCTGTGATGTGCCCTCGTGTCTCTCTCGAAAGCAC